GATCCCTAAAACATTCAAATTCAGACAGTAGTCCACTTCTCAATGTCTTTTCTGGCTAAGCTCCCTGGGGGATCACTGAGAGATGATGTGAGATTATTTTCCAAAGTAAGGCTACTGTGCAGACTTCAAGTTATTTATGTGAGTGGTCTGAAAACCTGTGAGGACTGTGAAACAGTAGTTAGGATTGCCAGTATCCATACTAATAAAGTTTGTTGCGACTGTCATTTACCCTTGCCCCTACGAAGAGAGATTCTTCTTCTCGTGACTATAGAAATAGGGTGGCAGATGCCAATTTTTTTTTTCTTATTATGCTACTGTTTAGGTCTCAGAAACTTCCAAGACTCCATTCTCTTTCTTGCTGATTTACAGTGTTCTCCCATGGTAACTTGCCCCTAAATGCAGCTATACATCTGATACTCTGATTCTTCCATGTGAAGGAGAAGTGAGTACTGACACCACTATTCAGGCCTCTTGTCCTCTACCCTGATATTATTCACTAGGCTCTAGAAAAAGATGGTTTAAGGGCAGTTTCAAGTCACAAGTGCCACAGTCTGGCTGGGCACAAAATCATGAGCCACTCAAGCAGGAACAAACTTTATTTCTGAAACTCCCGCCAATGCCATGAACGCTCCCGGAAAATATGCCGAACCACACACGCCACATTCTCCCACACTACACCAACAGGCAAATCCCTCCTCCGGAAATCCCTCCTACCGTACTTCCCCAACCAATGGGAACTCTACGGGAGTCCCACTAGAGCTCCAAAGTAGCAGGCCGAGGCATAATATCCAATTGAATGCAGATCTTAACATAATCATATCATCTCAATGGCTTGCTGCCATCACCTTTCAACCAAAAATGCCATGCGTCATTCTTACTTGGCTATGGCTCTCAGCAACAAGAGCGTGGAAAAGGAAATGAATAAAGCAGAGTAATAGCTGATCATCTCAGAGCTAAAAAGTCTCAAAAGAGATCCTTCCAAGGGAAATGTCTACAGATTTTGGTTTGGGCATGGGTAGGAATACAGGTGGAGAGAGATTTTTAAGGTATTTAGAATGGGAAGTGAGAATCTCTCAGAGTGTTTAGAATTGAAAATGGAATATAAGTAAAAGTATTTTAAAAGTCCTGGGCTTCAGAAAGATATTGGATACAGAAAATGAAAAGGATCATACAAGAGATAAAAATACAATCTTGAAATACTTCCCTTTATGTAACCACAAATAACCCATTTGGAGAATAATAAAACCCTTTTCTTGCCTTTGGTTTTGTAGCTGTGGACTTTTGACCCGAATGTGAGAACTTTAAAAAATTCCATATCCAGTTTATGAGATATAGTAAAAAAAATGTTTCTCCAGGATAAATATGACCTCTGTCTATAAAAGACAAGCAAGTAAGAAAAAAAATTCAAAATTAAATAAATAGGGTCCCACTTTGTTGTCCCCAAACACTGTCATTTCTTAGTGCTTGCTAATGTTTGTGCTACTTCATTCAGCTTCATAACTGCTGTCATGTAGCACTACCTTTGAGAGTTTCCTAAAATTGTGGTAGCTATGACAGCTCTCTGACCTGCTGGATGACCCTGAAGACAAAGGAGGGAAAATCCAGGGATAATGAGTATGTGCTTCCCTCAGCAGCATCACTCACCGAGGGACACTGTTTGACAGTATATTGCCCCTTGGACAGGTGTCCCATTTCAACAACCTGAGTTCTTGGTAGTGGTCATTGGCAGTCCAGGTCCAAGCCATACCATACTGGTCAAGATGAATCTTTCAGGTGATTGAAATACAGGCTGCCAGACAACACAGTAATTTCTCTTCAGTAGCCGTTGGAAAAGACACTGGGCCTCAGTGGGTAGGTAAACTGGAGCCAGAGTGAAGGGATCAATTGGTTTGATGGTGTAAGATTGTATGAATCCCCATGGCTCCTGGAAGCCTGGGTGATGCTGGGGCAAGCCCCACTTACAGTGATGCCTCTCTTACAGATGTTGTTTCTCGCTCTTCAGCCACTCAGAGGTCAGCTGCAACACATTGGAAAGAGAAGGAAGTGACTGCTTGCAAGACCAGTATATAAAGAGGCCACTCACAATTTTTTTCCAGTTAGAATTTATTACATCAAAACAACAGGAGGCTACTCTATACCACCAGGATTCAGATGAGGAAAAGGAAATTTTTTCCAATCATCCAGAAATGAAAGCCATTCCAAAAAGTGTTTAAAAAGGAAAACAGGGACTATTTTGCTAAGGGGCACTGATAGAAGCTACTTTCTAGAATCACTGGGCTTCTACCCATCTCTCTCTTTTCCTCTTATCAACCTGAGTCAGAAACTAAGAAGTTTGGCTTAAAGCATGTAAATATGTAATAAATTGGGTAGAATCCCTAGGGGAACTGCTGCCTCATACACAGCAGTTTCTCCTCCAGGCCTGTCCCTATCACTGACTTCCACGGTGGCCACACTGTAGAGCTCAGCCATGTTGACAGTCTCCCTGAACTCTCTGCAAAGGGAGCTGCCCTAAGTCCTCCCCACTATAAATTCTCTATAGTTACATCTTCAGATTTCCACTGGTGGATATCTATCCTGTATTTTATAGTAATTATTACCATAGATTATAAGAATGATAATAATATTTAGAAAAGTACAGGAGGTTCTCCCCTGGACTTGGTAGTAAAAGCTTGCTTGAGTTCCATTTTGTATTTTTCATAACTGGGTTCAATGTCCCCACACAGGGCTGAGATTGAGTTAATAATGAAGAGCCTTCCTCGTTGAATGGAAAGGAGACATTAAAGGAATTTTTGAGCCCCTATTTTAGATGTGCAAGTAAAATTATCTGATTTGATCACAAGACTACAAGAAACCTGAATAAACCCTGTAGTTTTAGCTACTTTTATTAATTAACTAATTGTTAAATGTTATCAAGTTTTCAAGGTCACATAGCAAAACCATGTATTCCCACTAGCCTTACTGTAGATAATACCTCTGACATGTAGGTCAAAATGTTACCAGTTGCCTAAGTTGATTCTCAGGAACTTGGACGTAGCTTAAATATGTTGAAACACTCACCCTTCACTGGGACCTGCACAGAGTGTGAGAGGAAGGCTTATTTCCTAGGAAGACACCACTTGGTAATTTGCTGAGCAATCCGTGCTTTCTAAAATGAACAGGGTGTTCATATTATTAGACATTTGAAATAGAAAATGTTCTAAAGATCCAGAGCAAGGGGGATACCGTTTCTCTATGCTTTCTCTGGCAAGCAGAGCCTACTGACTGCAGCTGACCCTGCCCTGAGAGGGGGGGAGAAAAACCCAAAGAAGGCAGAAATGGATGACTCCCTGTCTTTCCTTAAATTATGTGAGTTTTCTTCCTCTTCTCCATTTTTTCTTCTTCTTCCTCTTCTCTATTTTCCAATTTCAAGGATCACTCGCTGAATTTCAAATGGTTAATAGAGTCCCTTATAAAATGACCTCTTAACCAGGCTGGGGCTGTAGCTCAGTGGCAGAGCACTTGTCTTGCACGTGGGAGGCACTGGGTCTGATTCTCAGCACCACTTAAAAAAATACACAAAGTAAAGGCATGCTGTCCATCTACAACTACAATAAATAAACAGGTAAATAAATAAACAAATATTTTAAAAATTAAAAAAAAACTCTTGAGTGTGCTTTAAGGAAAAGACTAGTGGCAGAGTCCTGGCAAGAAAGAACCAGCACTCTTAGCTGTCCTTCACTCATTAACTAATGGATTGGAAATGTACTGGGGAATCCACAAAGCTTTCAGCCAGAGCCAGGTGAGGGATGGAAATAGGGCAAGAAAAGTGAAGCAAATGGAGTACAAAGTTGAAGCAAATGCTCTCAGACTCTCTTAGGTCACCCTAGTCCTCCCCAGGATGGTGCTGGGTCATAGGACTCTCTGAAGGTACCCTGAAGGAGTTTGGTATATTCCTTTTCCCTCAATGCATCATAAAACATCAGAATTTTTCAAGTAGAAGTGATATTAGGCAACTGAAAAGAAGGAAAAAAGAAAAACAGAAATAAGAAAAAACATGACACAGAAGCACCTAGAGAAAATATGCTTTGTCGGAGTCCAGCTACAACAGGGGGTCTCAAGAGACGAATGGATGGTGAGGAGTCAGCAAAAGTGGGGTGGAGAAACAACACAGACACCAAAGTGAAGGTGCTGAATCCCAATCTTTACTTGTGAAGTTCATCATATATACTTTTCATTTTGGCAGGCTCACAGTACTTTGTGATTACAAAACAGGAATCATTATTCAAAGAAACAAAGTATTACGTAGCTACAATTAGAATAGAAGAATGTATCTTTGCTTATGCATAAGCAAGCATTTTTCCTTTTAGTTTGCGTTTTGCTTTGAGTTGTTTCTGCTTAGTTAACTTTTAATAATAGTCAGAAATGTCCCAGACTTTTGGCCTATACTTTGACTATTCTTTCTTGACTTACTGACTGGAACCAGTGCCATGGTTATGGCAAATGTTAACTTGTTATTAATTTTAATCAAACAAGAGTAAGAGCACAAACCATTGTGCACAAGAACAAGAACAAGTTTCCCAGTACTAAGCACTAATCTGTCTTCTTAACATTAATTCTTCTTCTCTAGATTTTAACTTAATTTCTCAAAAACTTCCTTGACAGGAATACAGGGAGTTTTTCATTAGACATTAACAATTTATGTTCTACAGCTGAATCATTGCATTTAGAGCAAACAGATCTATTCTTTAGAAGTAGTTCATTAATTGGGAAAGTCATTTTTTTCCTGCATACTTAATGGTCATATGAGAAATCTCAACTATACTTATTAAAGGAATACTAAAAACAAACCAGCCCATTTCCAGAAACATACTGCGCTCCTCCAGAAGATGGACACCTTGCGCCATCCACCTCAGTAGGGACTTGCCATTGCCTGAGTCAGGGGAGGGGCGCAGCAATGCTTGCTTAAAATAATCATTTCCTGGAATTGAGATGAGACTTGTAAATGAAACCGAAAGTCTGTTTTCAGCATTGTGGGTGGGCCAGTATTACAGGACACAGCCAAACTATGGAATGGAGGGCTTACTAACTTCATCAATTGATACAACACTTTTGGAGATTCTACAATATACAGGCAGTGTCACTGTACTCACTGTGAAGAAATCTCAGGAAGGTCAGACATGGGCTTATCACGTGTGGACTCCTAGCACAGCAACAGAGAACACAGGCCCCAGTACAAGCCCCGGCACAAGAGAACAAGGTAATCCCCCAAAAGCTATGTGGGGGCAATGGGAAAATTTCTCTCTGACCTCTCAAGGGCCACTGGAATGCAACAAACAAACATCAAATAGGAGAAAAGTTATATATATTTATTTTCATGCAAAATGGCAAAACCACAGCATGGGGGACAATCACAGGAATATGATTAACTACCTATATAACATTATGCACAAACTTACATATCCCTTTTCTATGAGGTAGGGTTGAGATTGGCAGATAATTTTGAGGGATTAGAAATTATTTTTAGTAAATAAGGTGGTCTCCAAGACAGTCTTTGAATTTTGAATGAGCCCAAGGGATAGAATGTGGTAAGAAAAGTTCATGCAAATGTAGTTTTATTTTTCAGTCCTCTATTTGAGATTGATACTGGGAATTCAGGGTAGTGATAAAAAGCCATTGTTCCCTTTTGCAGTCGGTATTAATGCACATTAAAAAGAAGTCATTCCCTGAAAATGGATTATTGGTAGGACATAGGAAATGTCATTCCCTGAAATGAATTATTTACATCAAATTGCTCAGCATGCCAAAATAATCCAATTTCAGGGAATGAAATTTCCTAGGCCCTAACAATTCTAAGATGCTGGCAATCACAGAGAAAGTCTTAGAGGTTCAAATTAAACCCTTAGAATATTGTAGCTGGGGAGATCCCCCCAATCCCTCCTTTTCTGACACATCTGATCTTCCAAGTCAGTTTTGTGCTGGGGAGAAAAACATTATATTTGAACATGTCCTTCAGGCCAAGCATTAGGTGAGAGTCACCAATGTCATCTCCTTTTGTCCTCATGGCTATTATTGAGCTAGATAATAGTACTGCTGCTAAAAATTTAATCCACCATTTAGCTGCTTCTCATCATTCTACTACATTATTATCTTCTCATTATTCTTCTGCTTCTCCTATATACAGATAATGTAGGGATAATGTAGCTTTAAATTTGCTCTTTTTCCTCCAAAGGTTTTAATAAGTTTAGTTATCAAAATGAACTCACAACATACATACTGTGAGGGAAAACATGCCTACAAATTTTTAATGTGCTTAAGCATGAATTTCATACCAAAGCATGAGACTCAAAGAGGGCAAGATGGGTGAACTTTATGCAGAGCTAAGCTAGGGTATAGGTGCTGGGTTTCTGGGAGGGAGGGTGGCACAGCCCTAGAAGGGCAGGGACCAGGAGCACAGTGTTGTCTTTTTGTGCAGGTGAAGTTTCCTAGGTAGCAGCCACCTGGGATAACCTCTCTCTTGGAAAGGTTATCTCAATGTCTTGAAAAGACCGTTATTAGTTTGGAAGGGGATATCAAAGAGAAAAGCCTCTACCTGCATGCACTCTGTACTTTATCAGGGCTGGTATAGATTTATTTTAACACAAGAAAAACCTTCTAGAGCCTTCTTTTGTCTAAAAAATTAGCAGTCTCTCTGAATAGCGAACTTAAACTATACCACAGAAATATATTTAAAGTGAGAGGTTAAAGGATTTTAATCTCTCTCTGTAGTAACTGTTGGATTCTGAGATCAAACATTTGACTAATACTAAAACTCTTGTTCATAAAAGAATGCCTATGCTCCCACTGAAAGGGAGAAGATCAGTCTTACTGGTAAGACACTAGGTCACCAGCCTTATACCCACTGTATTCCTCATGTCAATTAATTGGAATAGCCATCATCATTCCTGAGGAAAACAGCTCAGATACACTATGTTCCTTATTCAGATATCACACATTGCTTGAACATTCATATATTTCATACTCTTTGTTTGGAACTAAAGTAATAAACGTGAATAAGAGAATATCTCCCACAACAGGAAGGAGAACTGGGAGGTGTTCTGCTCTGAGGTTAAGTCCAGTTCCTTCTCTTAATAAAGAAACCCAAACTGACTGCAGCTGTGAAACCTCTGCCTCTCACACGTGGGGAAGGAAGCTGCTCTTGGTGGTGCACTTTTCTCTGGAACAACCTGAAGACAGGCTCTTGGCAGTAAGGAGACAAGTAGGTAGAT